TGCACCTGTTCGTGAACAGTGCCCCCAGAGAACTCCTGTGGAATATAATTCTTGTCCACCCCATAAGTTTGCAGGTTCATGGTGGTGTTTCAGCTCTCCTAAGCATCAGGAGTGCAAGGCCCAAGAGAATTATCTTCCTTGTTTTTCTTTGAGGAATCAAATTTCACTTAAACAATCATACAAGAAGCAAACTCCATATTGAATGGAAGCTTAAACACAAAGATGCCTTTTGAAATCTTGTTTTAGAAATAACCCAATCAATAAATGCGCAAAGGAACTGAATAGACACTTCACAGAAGAAGAAATATGACTGGTTAACAAATATATAAAAAAATTCAACATCACTAGCAATTAGAGAAATGCAAATTAAGACTACACTGAGATTTCATCTCACTCCAGTCAGAATGGCAATTTTTAAGAATGCAAATAAATGTTGGTGAGGAAGTGGGGAAAAAGGTATATTCATACATTACTGGTGGGACTGCAAATTGGTGCAAACACTCTAGAAAGCAGGATGAAGATTCCTCAGAAAACTTGGAATGGAACCACCATTTGACCCAATTATCCCACTCCTTAATTAACACATATCCAAAGGACTTAAAATCAGCATACTATAGTGACACGGCCACATAGCTGCTCAATTATAGCAGCTAAATTCATAATTGTTAAGCTATGGAACAAATCTAGGCACCCTTCAACAGGAAAATGTGGTATATATACACAGTGGAATATTACTCAGCCATAAATGAGAATAAAATTATGGCATTTGCTGGTAAATGGATGAAATTTGAGACTATCATGCTAAGTGAAAACAGCTAATCCCCAAACACCAAAGGTTGAATGTTCTCTCTGATTCTACAGAGGGGAGTTGGGGTGGGGGGAAGGGAGGGAGGGATGGGAATTGGAAAGACAGTAGAATGAATCAGACATAACTTTCCTAAGTTCATGTATAAATATACGACCAGTGTAACTCCATATCATGCACAACCACAAGAATGGGAAGTTATACTCCATGTATGTATAATAAATCAAAATATGCTCTATTGTCATGGATAACTAAAAAGAACAAATAAATAACAACAAAAAATAAATCTTGTTTTGGGAGCAAAAACTTATAGTGGTTCTTCACCTATGGCACATTTGGCTGTACATCTCAGAATTTCAACAACAAGGAAAAACTTACTGAGCACCTACTAAGTTCTGAGAAACGTGCTAGATGCTGAAGATACAAAGATGAATAATCTTGACATAATTTCTGCCCTTAAGATTATCTCAATGGGAAAGACAGATACATAGGAGATAATTATATTACCTAAAATAGGGACAGGGTCCAGGCACCCAGGGAAAGGACATCATCCAAAAGTTTAAGGTTTTGGCAGGATGGAGGTCACTGAAGACCAGGAGGAGAAATTTCAGTAGAGCACTGATAGGAGGTAGAAGCCAAATTTAAGGGGTTGAAAATTGGAAGGAAGGACAGTATAGAGCAATAGTAAGTTACTCTTTTGAGACATTCAGATGAATAAGTGAGGAGAAATCGGGTATTAGCTGGAGGATTAGCACAGGATAGAGGAAGGATTTTTAGACTTCATCTTTGTTATTAATACAATAATGAAAAAGGCAGACATGCTTCCTGCTTCAGGGAGCTTATGACCCAGTGGTTAAAATACACAAGTCCTGGTTAGAGATGGGGAGACAACTTTGAATCAGAGGGCAATGTCAGAAAAGTGTGTCAAGGTGGGGAAAAAAGCCTAGAGTAGTTACTCTGTTTAAAATGAACTGAGGTCCATGATTTATTCAGATTTGTTCAGCCTTTACTGATTTTCCTTTTTTCTGTTTTCCTATGCAGGTTACCACATTACATCTATCCTGTCTCCTCCTAGCTGTGACAGTGTCTCAGCCATTCCTGGTTTTTGACGGCCTTGACAGTTTTGAAGAGTGCTGGTCATACAATGTCACCCAGTTGGGATTTGTCTAACATTTTTTTTTTTTAATTTTCATGATTAGCTGGGGTTAGAAGAGCTGAAGTACAGTTCTCATCACATCATGTCAAAGGCTGTGCCTATTGCTGTTGCTGTTGACCTTGACCCCATGGCTTGTGTAGTGCTGTCCAGCTTCTGGAAAGTTACTGTAAAGTTCTGTAAAGTTGCTCTCCCTCTCTCTCCTCCCGTTTCCAGACTTTCTGAAAGTAAGTCACTCGGCAGCCCACACTTAGGGAGTGGAGAATTACGCTTCATCTCCTTTAAGAGAAAACATTTGGTACATAAATTATTTGGAATTATTCTGTATGGGAGATTTGTTTATTCTCCTCAATTAATTCATTTATTCCATCTTTTATTTATATCCATATGGACTCATGGAAAATTATTTTGTACTTTGGGTTATAATCCAAAAACTGTCTAGTTTTGCTCTTAAAATGGTTCCAGCTTTGACCACTGGGAGCTCTCTGAGTTGGCTCCTGCATCTCTTTGGCATATCCATATCCACATCATTGTGGTTTTTTAAAAAGTTATTTTTAGCACTTCCTTAATTTCTGGCCCTCTCAGAGGTTCCAGGCTCATCTTGAATATTCTCTGCCTCAGGTCCTAGAATCAACTGTTTCTTCAAGGAATCCAGGTTCCTTTAATTACAGAACAGTACTAGAAACCAAGATTTGGATGGTAGGTGTCGTGTACTCATTCCTATTAGAATGTTGATACTTTTAGACCCTCTGGTCTGTTAGAGAAACGTGTGTATATAGTCTCTTTGTATACAAATATCTATAACAAATTCTGCGTGTCTCCATCTGTACGTCTATTCAACTAAATACGAGTTCATACTGATTTTTCGGACTTTCATGTATAGTCAATGCCATGAGTCATTCTAACCTTATCCCTTGCTAATTTCTAATCTCTCATTGTAACAGTGAGAAACCTGGCCTCCACCATAAGTCCTGTGGCCTCTTTACTCCCAGTATTCACATGCTGTAGAATGCTTGTATATAATTCTTTTGCCTTTAATCTTGCAGACAGAATTCATTTCCAAGGTGATGTAGATCAGAACCTTTACCCTCCACCCCCTTCAGCAAGATTAGTTCATACATATTTGTAATGTAGTCAGGTTCTTTTGTTATAGTCTGCCTTCCATTCTAGGATCTTCCAATCACCAAAACGTCCATTGTAAATTTTGCATTTATGAAGGTTTACTCTGTGTTTTTAAAGCTCCATGAGTTTTGACAAATGCAAAGTGCCACGTATCCACCACCACACAGTCACTGAGAAATGTTTCATCATCCTGAAAATCCCCTCCCACTCTGAACTCCTGATCTGTTCACCAACATCATAGTCAAGCTTTTCCCCGGAATGTCAGATAAAATGAAATCTTTTCGATTGGTTTTACTTAACAATATGCATTAAAAATTAATTCATGGGGGTGGCGCACAACTGTAATCCCTAGAGCTTGGAAGTCTGAGGCAGGAGGATCCCAAGTTCAAAGCCAGCTTCAGCAATGATGAGGCGCTAAGCAACTCAATGAGACCCTGTCTCTAAATAAAACACAAAATAGAGCTCGGATGTGGCTGTCTAGTGCCCCCAAGTTCAAACCTGGTACTGCCCCCGTAAACT